AAATGCGACTGTAGCTTTTTTTTCCACAAAACTTTGTCTTCAAAATAAGGTGCGTCTTATATTCCGAAAAATACGATAAACCAAAATAATGACTTACAAATACGATGTTTTCTCATATTGTACGAACAAAATTAACACCGTATCGTACAAACTATACACATCTTTCATAAAAAAATGGTTAAGGAATATACTAAGGGGGAGTTACCCATTCATCTTTTAAAAATTGGATTAATGGTTTTGCGTGTATTTGTTTTTGTATTTGAAGTTCACATATTTGTTTTCACCATTTCTGAAAACCATTATAAAGTTTTATAGAATGTAACTGTTGTATGGCATTCTTCAGAAATTATAAACACATCAGACCGATCCATAAAAACGTGGCAATGCGTTGAAAATAGACTTAACATGTGTTAATTAGGCTTAACGTGTTTTATATCTTCAGAAAAAAATACTGCATATTTGGATTGAATATTTAGAAGCATAAATTAATTACTCACCTACACGTATCTGAAGACTTTTACCCGTAGAAGGGTCATGGAGTTCTCCAATGACCCTTATCATGTCTAAAGCCATGTCACATACCCTCTCCGAATGTTTTGGATTCGTTTCAGGAGCTCCAGAAACAACCATGTAGGCGTCACCTATTGTTTCCACCTAAAGAATATAGGAGGATGTAACGAACAGCAAAAGAAACAAGCTAATATCCAAGTCTCTTTAGCCTCGTATAATATAAATATAAACCTATGTATGTGTGTCGATCATAATTTCATTATTTACACACAAACATAATTATCTGAGAAATGCTTTTTGATGGGCCACTTGAAACTATGATTGATTTGTAATTATGAGATTAAGAAATTATATAAAATTATGAGCAGCAGTTTTCTTTGTTTGTTTGTTTTGCATTTCGCGCAAAACTACACGAACGCTATCTGCGCTAGCCGTCCCTAATTTAGTAATGTAAGACTCGAGGGAAGGCAGCTAGTCATCACTACCTTCACATTATAACACCCCCACGGCTGAAAGGGCGAGCATGTTTGATGAGACGGGGATTCGAACCCACGACCCGCATATTGCGAGTCAATCTCCCTAACCACCTGGCCATATCGGGCCCAGTTTCGTTTGTTTATATGAGATTGAAATCAAACATCGAATTCCCACAGTGGGACAGAAGTAAGCCTTTGGATTTACAACGCTAAAATCATGGATTCGATTCCCCCCGGCTATCACAAAATACACATATGAAGTGTAAAGAATTTGGTATAATATTTAAATTTCTAGCTTTATCTAACTTTAATATTATTAAATATTTGTTAAACAACTCGTTGTATTTCAGAAAATAGCGAAATAACAACTGAAACAGAAACATATAAACTTAGAGACAAAATAATAAAATAAATAGAGTTGTTTAAACATTTGTTTAACAACAAGTAAAAAGCTTG